AAGACAAATATTCAGATAAGAGATTTGCTGGGTACTATTTCCTTGGTGATTGCCTTGCATTGATCGGGTAGAATTTTGCATGATAAAAATATAGTAAGGTAGAACCGCTGAGAGTCACTTTTAAAATTCTTGACGTTTCCAAACAATTTAATTTTTAAATTTACTCACAAACTCACACACACATTTTCATTTTCAATCTCAAGCAACAACAATTTCGAACAATTTCAATTTTTTATTTTCACTTTTATATGATTTTAAAATGTTGGCAAACTTCAAAAAAAAATCATGGCCGACAAATTGAGAGAACGGTTCTACCTTGCTATGTTTTTATCATGGAATTTTGTACTCTATAGGCGAATTAGAAAATTTTAAAATTTTCTACGAAACACAAATGATTGCTCAGGTGTACACATAAATTTTTTTTTTAAATATTTTTAAAATATACCGTGTTATTGGTTAAGTTTAGTTAAAATTTTGCACTTTCTCATTTTTTTCATTGAAATTTTTGTAACTATTTGGTACTCGTTTGCTTTATTTCTTAACTTTGCCCACTTATTACTTTTTCATTGAAATATTTTTATATAAAATTTCACTCCTTTTACACACTGTCAACGTATAAAACCGTCCATAATCCTTTTCTTTGCTTTCACACTCGCACTTTCTTCGCTACGTTACGGTTGTTGCTTTACATTTGCCGAAATAAACTTTGTTCTAAACGTGTCGAAATTTTATCACAGACTGGCCAATAGATCGCAGAGTTTGTTGTTGTGAGCGAATTTTCATGATCATCCTATATGTTGTATTTCTATTTCATTTTCCTCAATCATCTCTCACCACCACCACCACCACTGCCGCCCACTTAACGGTTGTGGGAAAATCTTATATGCCGATTTTTCATGCATAAAACTACTATAGGCAACAAAAACAATTTAGACTTGTTGAGAAGGAAAGCATTAAGCAACTGATCATCGAAATTAGAGGGTCAGCATGCCATTTAAAATACTCAAAAGTATGCGAGCATGAAATGAGAAATGAATGTATTCTAAAATTTTCTCACGAAAAATAGTACACAACAACCGAAGAGGTATTAGAGAAAAACTTATGACATTATTTTTGAACTCATTCATGTAGCGTACAGCCAAGGAAATAGAAGACAGAACAAGTTTTCGAACTGTTACAATTTGAATATTTTTGTTTTTGAGCAATCAAACTGCGAGCAGATATGTAAGTGCTGAGTAAAATTCAGCAGAGAGATTAACATTCCTCATGTATTGTAATGCTGTTGTAAAAATAAAGCCGGGTAATTAGTCAAATGTAAAAGGAAAGAGACATTCGAAAAAAAAAAACAATAAATGTAAGAGGCGTATGCAAATTTTATTTGGCACTGTTTATTGCTACTTTATTAGTGTGAACTATTAAAACATACACATGCGCATATTTGCATACATATGCATAAATCTTATAGAGGACACATAGGTAAAAAAAAAAATGTTTGCATAAATATTAATTAACGTCGACATTTATTGCCGCGATAGCATAGTATAAAGACGATAATTCTCTTTAAAAGGCACCGCTTTTGGTGGTAAAGAAAACAAATGAGTGGCCAAATGTGGCCACGGCTACGCAAAGCATTGGGCGATTCAGTTGCATTCCTAAATTGATTAATTTAGAAACTAAGCATTAATTTAATTTCATTTTGTCGGGACCTGTACCGCATCGGGAATAATTCAAGACTATTTCAGGTTGAATTCGTGACCAGATTTGAACTACCCTGAAATGATCCCAAAATGGTCTCGAAATTGTCCTGAAGTATTTCTGAAAAAGTCGTGAACTTGTCCCGAAATTATGACAAACAAGTCTTGAAATGGTCCCGTTATGGCCTCTTACTAGTCCCAAAATTATTCCTTATTAGTTCCAAAATGATCCCGAACTATTCCTAAAATGATCGTGAAATAGTCATGGACAGATCTCGAAACGGTTCCGAAATGATTCAGAACTACTCCCGAAATGGCCCTGAAATAGTTCTGAACAGGCCCCAAAACGGTCGAAAAGTCGTGAACTTGTCCTAAAATGATTCCGAACTAGGCTCAAAATGCTCTTGAACTAGTCTCAAAATGATACCGAACTAGGCCTGAAATAGAGTGAACTAGTCCCGAAATGCTCCTGAACAGTTCCCGAAATTGTCCTGTAGAGTCTCGATTTGATCCCGAATAATCTCGAAATAGACCTGAACGAGTGCAGAAATATTCATCTGTACACGCAATAATCAATTACAGATTTTCTGCTGGGTTACACAAGAAGTAGTTGCTGGGTTACACATACCGAGAGCACACACAAAAAGTAGAGAACTAAAGAAAACTTACTCATCACTCAGATCTTGTTTTATTAAATTAAAAACTTTCATCACAGTGAATCCTCCAAGCAGTGGGGTATTTGGTAAAATCGATTGATCGCGCAACTTGGGTGAACAAAATTTATTTCATTTGATAAGCATTATTGACATTTATTTAATGCGAAAAATTGTTAATAAGTAGACTACTACTTGGATTCTGTTTAAAATCTTTCTAAGCTGTTTTATTGCGCTAAAATCTTGTCCCTAGATTCTCTGTTTCACAAGGTCTCAGATGATTTTCTCGCGAAAACACCACTTTTGCGCACTGCCTTTTCTTTTTAGGCAGCTTTTCCATTTTCTCTGCTTCGAAATTTTCCGTGAAGGTCAATAATTTAACGAATTCCGCTGCAGAGAAGCCGACAGAAAGGAATTTCAGCGAGCTTCCCTCTCTATTGAACCAAAGCTTCATTAGCACCATGTAGAGAAGAAAGGTGGCGCCCATCTCGTACCGCTATTCCTCTCTCAATCAATTTGACAGAATCGCTATTTTTATGACGTCTCACATGTATTTACCTTTTTCTTGCAAAATTTTTTTCTTCTTAAATTTTTGCTCGCATTTTGACATTTCTCTCTCGCAACTACACCAGTCTGACGCCACACCAAAATTATTCTCAAATATCCTCTCTGATGGGCGCAATCTTTTGTTCTATTAATCTTGTTTCATTATACTGTTGGGCAGTCGACTGGGGGGAATTAATGAAACCAAGTTCTGGATTGCACATAGAGAAAAGTAAATTCTCAAAAACGAATAAAACTGCAGCCTTCGAGGGCTACACACTCACACAGGATGTGTCCCAAAGTGTGCTCATTCCACATCCACACCTTCTGGTACATATTGTCATACGTTCATCTAGCTTAAAGGCATGTGAATTCAATTAAAAGTAACCTGTTACTAATCTAATACCGAATATTAGGACTCAGAGCTGGGCTGCACTAAAAGCGTTAACAGCCAAAGCAGAAGACTCGAATATTTTTAAGAAATTGCGTGTGTTGCTGGCTTTCCAAGATTCAAAACAGAAATTTAAATTTTACCTAATTGTCCGAATGAATAAATGTGTACATTAGGGTGGTTCAAAGAAAAGTAAAGTCGGAATTTTAATGCTCTCACTCCCTAGCATTGTTCTATAACGAAAAAAAAATATACCATTTCTATCATACCATACATACATGGAAAACTTTGAGCGTTTTAAGCGACCTCTAAATATTTTTTGATTTCAAAATGAAAAATAGGGGTATATTTTTTGGGTGTAGAACAATCCTAGGGGCTGAGAGCATAAAAATTCCGACTTTACTTTCTCCCACGCATTTTTGTGGACCACCCTTGTGTGCATGCTATGGATTTGTGATTTGTGAGATAAAAGTACAATCGAGTTATCTGCAATAATGGGAAAGGTGTGTCAGGGCCATATTTCTTTTTTTCTTTCTTCTGTGCGCTAAAACCACTAACGCTAATTAATTTATGGATGCAAATACGACATGCAATCAAATAATTAGACGATAATTCGCCAAATGACAGAAAAGACAAGATAATTATATTGCAATATATTTAGATACACCAATAGGAAAGAATTGCTAGTGATACATATATTTCACATATCTGATGAAAGGGATGCCAAATTTAAATATGAATAAGGAAATGTTGAGGTAGATGTCTACATACATAGCTAAAAAAAAATTAAAAAATTTCTACGTCTATACACGCCTAAATAGCTAGTAAAAAATAAAAATCAAAAAAAAAAAATGTAAAAAATTATCTTCTATGATCTATAGACACTGAAAAAATGCGAAATTAAAATGTTTTAATAATTTCTGCCAATACTTTGTCTTTACGCTATGCGAAAGCAGAACTAAATTTATATTCATATCTACTATAAATGTTTTTAGAAAAGCGTTTTTTTTGCATTTTTAAGCAAATAGCAACAAAAACTGACCTTCGTTTATATTTTACTAATTTTCAGATAAATATTAAATTTAAAATGAAATTATTGAAATATTTCAGGCATAGAAAATGCCACGTTCTGTCTGGCAGGCAGATTAATGTCTGGCGTGTGAGTGTCAGCCACCGCAAGGAGCGCAAGAAGGCCGACCGACGGCAACTTGCCGGCTCATTTGTTATAGCTATACCGACAAAATATGTATTAATGTATTTAGTTTGGATATAAATAATACTTAAAAATGCATAAATAACAATTTATACATACAAGAAAAAACTACACATAAGTAACACTTCAAGAAGTGTGCCGCCCCTCGGTGTGTTGACAATTTGCCAGCGTTAAGTGTGTATAAGAAATACAAAAAAAAAACAATAAATATCTACTTATATATTTGTAAAAAAAAAATCATAAATTTTTTGTAAATTAAGCACTGACAACCTATTTCCTACATTGTATTTACTAATGATAGACTGGTCGTTTTAATTTTTCTTTTTGCTGCTTCTGCATTTGCACTTATGTGCTAATTTCCTTTTTATGAGTTTTGCTCTCTTATTTCCAAATTAAACTACAGTTGTGAGATATGTATTTCACAAACACAGTATTGCCGAAAAGCTCGTAAATATACAATGTATTTATTATTTGTCGATATGTATTTGCATTTATGTGCGACTTACCAAAATCGGATAGGTTCACTTTTTCTAGGAATGGATCAGCGACTGGCAACTGAAAGAAAAAGAAAATACCATAAGTTGCTTTGAGTGAAAAATTATACTCATAGAATTATATCATGAAAAAGTAAATTTACAATTCTTTACTAAGTGACATTTTTGATTATAAAGCATTTAAAATCCATTTCATTTTTATGTTTTACTTTCATATGGTGGTAATATGGCGAAGATTATTTATATTATTTTTTTAGTTAGGAAATGCATACATTAGGGTACCACAGCTCCACAAAAAAAAATAAAATAAAAAATGTGATTCAATACGAAAAAGCTGTAGAGAGAAGAGTGATAAATGTGCTCTATATTTTTAAATACAATAAGGCCATTTGGATGATAAAAGACATCGTTTTTTTATTGTTAGGTGAATTTAATTTTTAAGGAAATACATTTATGTAACATATATATGTACTTTACACCCAGTAATAACCGTCGCATAGGTTTTTTTGAAGAAAAAAAGAGTCCTTTATAGATTTTGCGAAAAGTTTTTTTTTTTATAAACAAAAAAAACTGTGCGAAGTTATTATTTTACAACCCGTTTTTTATTTGATAAGATAAATTGCATATTGCAATATTGGTATCAAAATGAATAGACGAAAGTTACTGCCGCAAATATGTTTGAGGAGGGTTGCCAACCGTTTGAAAAATTGTATTAAATTAAATTGATAAAATAGGTGAAATATTACAATCCAGGTATCAAACAGCATACAAATACTTTTAAGCAGTGTTGGCAAAATGTTAATCTGATTAACGATTAAAGTTAATGACTAAAATGTTAATCGCGATTAACGATTAAAATTAATTAATCGTAATTATCCGTACGATTAATGATTACATTTTTTTAATCGTTAATCCTCGGTTGTGATTACGATTAATTGATTTTAATCATTAATCCAATTTAAAAAAAAAATCTTATTAAGTTGTCTAGTTTGTCCGAATTCGATTTAGATCTTAATGAAAATGTACACCAAATTGCTTAGATTTATGAGGAAAACCGACTTTGCCATACCCGATTAACTGGCCTTGTGTGCACATTAATTAATTAATCACAAAATATACTTAATCAAATTAAGGGTTAATGATTAAAAATTAATTTTTGTAATCGTGGTTACGATTAACTGTTTAATCAGATTAAAATTAAACATGATTAACTGTAATCAGATTGAATTGAATCGAATTAACTAATTGATTAAAAAATCAATCGATTAGTGCCAACACTGGGTATTTGCTAGCTATTAATAAAATAAAATACAAGATTTTGCGGATTTTCAAAAAAAAAATCCAAATTTTTGGCTCAAAAGGATGAAAAAGACCTTTAGTTATATGTAATTTTTTTTTAAACTAATAAAGTTAGAAGGATAAAGTTCGAGGATGTAATCGTTTATATATTAGTATTAAACAGGTAATTTTTAGAAAATTGATATTACAAATTTTCAAGTATGTGCCAGGATAAAGATTTAAAAGGACCTTTTCACGACTTATTCCTTATGCACCAAAAAATTGTATAGAGTTAGATTCTACAGAATTTTCTTTGTATTTAATACCATTGGTTTTTCTCCACAATTTATCGAATTAATAATCTCTTTGAAATTTCAGTATCCTTAAAAAAATCCCGACGCCAGAGAGAAAAACTAAAAACGCATTTTTCTTATATTTGGCCCCGAGTTTCGCGAGTATATTGAGTTTTTGGCCTGTAAGATTTACTGTCGCACAGTGTAATAAACTAATAGAAAATAGCTTTTACGTAACCTGGCAGAATTAATGAATTTCCATTTTGGGCACCACTAAACCAAGGTATAATTGTAGACACAGAGAAGAAAACTGAGTCATAAGAAATTTATGTGATATATATAACAAATAAACTATGGGGGATTCCTAAGTGTCATCATCAAGCTCAATTAAAGGCTACAAATATCTATAGAAGTGTAAGTATGTTCGTTACAGGTAATATTTCCCATGCGACAAAGAAAAAAAAATGTGAATCTCCTCTTCTAATTTATGACGACATATCACCAGCGTAGTAATTTTCAGAAATAACAATAACAAATTGAAGCTGACATTGATATGATGCAAAGTAGCAAATTGCCTTAGTTCACGAGATATTGTGAAAACTCATGTGAGAGAGCAGATAATGATTATACAGGTATTGCTAACTTCGTATGCAGTAAGTCCCCTTTCAGACACGTCAAGTCTTGAAAGCAATTTTTTTCGCATTCTCTTTTGTGTTTTCTATTTGCTTCCACACGCGTCAACTTTAATTGAATTCAAGTTCTTGGTTCTTAAATGGGAAGCAACGAAAAGATCAAAAGAGACAAGAAAACTTGAAACGAATTGACGGTACGAAGGTATCTGTACTCTTCCCCTCTCTTCCCACCTCCTTCGCCAACGAACGAGCAGACTTGAAAGCAAGACTTGACGTGTTTGAAAGGGGACTAACTATGCACTTTGTAATGCATGCATGTGCGTGGTACACATGTTGTTGTTATTTGTTCTTTTCCTAGAGATAATTACTTGTGTACACATGACCGGAATAACTATTACACAATGAGCCACAATAAAGCGCGAAATGACGTGAAGCGAAAGGTGAGTGGGGGTATAAAAGTCACCAAAAAGGGCATAGCGACAAGTCGGTGAACATGGTACTTGTACTTGTAGATAGATTTGAGTAAAGCGTTTGAGACAAGTTGAATAAATTAAAAAAAAAAAACAACAACAACGATTACGTAGAAACATGCAGCGAAAAAAAAACCTGTTAACAACTAAGCAAATACATACATACATATGTATGTAGCTAATGTCGCTGGTACAAAGGAAAACAAACGAGTTCAGCTGGCTTTAAACACTGAACAAGTAGACAAATTGTATGCGGAAATTGGCTGGGCAAGAGACAAGGCAGGCACGCACGCGCCGCGCCATAACTGCATAGAAGACTGACTTACGGATGAGCTGTCTAGGCGCGACAGCCCACAACGACCGACACACACGTCGGCAACTTACTTGCTTTCCGGTGTTGTAGTGCGGATGCAAATGAGTTTGCTTTTGCGGATATTGCTCGGGGTATTGCTGCTCGTATTCCTGTTTTTCACATTGTCGCAAATATTCTTGGTATTCCCGATCGGTGAAATCACTGCGTCGTCGCACAAGTATGCATTCCCGCACAGGTGAGCGTTCTGCATTGACCGAAGGTCGACTTGTAGCAATCGATTCTCGTCTATCCCTAACAAGTGGGTGATGTAAATGTGATGACGTTTGTTGTTGTGCTCGTTGTGGTGGCGGCTGTTGCTGCTGCCTCTGTCCACTTTGCTGTATGCCTGCCGCTGTTGTGGGTGAAGCTGTGGCTAAACGATTATAACGTGTCGTACCCAAACTATTCAGAACTCGCGCATGCTCCCGACGGCTGACGTGATTGCGTGAATGTCGCGTGCCGTCTGCCGTATCAGCTGTGTAGGTTCCAGCGTCACCGCCGTTGTCGTTGTCGCTGCCATCGTAGGTGCCGCCGTTTCTATGATTATCATAGTCACTGTCAGCTAACGCACTCAAGTCGCTGCCTAGCGTCGTCGTTGTAGTAGTCGTCGACTCGGCGGCTTCATCGTCTACTAAAACGGGTAAAAGATGAAATTTTTTCTTGCGATTTATTGGCGAATTGCTGAGCGAGCGACCTTTGGCGCGTTGTTGCAATGCTTCGCGTATTAGAGCTGACTTTTTTTTCGATGTTGTGCAGTAATCGTGCACAGGCAGATGATTGACAAGTATCTCGGGAGGTGGTGGACGCAGTGGTGCTTCGAAGACAGAGCGACGACGAAACATTTTGTGACACACACTTTATGTTTTTTTTTTTCGATTAGTTTTGAGTTTTTATGTATTATTTATTTTGTTGAGTTGACTTTGCTTTCACTTCTTCAAGTAAATTTTTCACAAGCTTTTTATTTTTGTTGTGGTTTATTTTGCGACGATGGATTTCCAACAGTTTTGAGCTAAGGTTGTGTTAAACGTGGTTTGGTTATAATTGTATTTGCTTATAGTCGCTATGGACTTAGATTTGAAGACATCGTCTGATGACGTTGGCATTTATTGTTTAATACATATATACACTAACTTCGAGGTCAGTTAAATTAAATGCATTATTAATTTTTTTTTTATATTGGCATAGTTTTTTATGGTTTGAGAACTGAAGATGTTTTTCTGGTTTTAACTAAAAGTTTCGATTTCATTAGCACTATTCAACAAGACGTATTTTTCGGCGCCAAATCGGATACCATTAGATTTTTGCATCTCCGATATTTTCATAATTTTACCAACATTGTTGGTTTTATAGTATCAATTGATACAGGCCTTCTTGATTTTTTTTAAATTTTTTTGTTCGAGTTATCGATTAAAAAAAAAATGAAAGGGTTCTTTTAAATGCCTATAGTTTTGTGAAAAATGGGTCGATTTGGGACCAATGTTTTTAAAATTTCTCAAACCCTTTTGGAGTAGGTACAAAATCGAAAACAAATAATTTTCTATTAACTTTTTTAATACAAAACTAGAAAATACCCGGCGTGCTACACTGCGCCTTAAAAGTATTTTTGTGTTGTTTGCTACCCGTATTGTAATACTTCATTTAGTTCAATAAAATTTTTCAAACAGGTGGCAACCCTCTTCAAAAACATTTTCGGCAGTAAACTTTCCTAAACCTCTTCAGTTTGACAACTATATTGCATTATTTAATTTATCTTATCAATTAAATTAAATAATTTTTTTTTTTTGGAAAACTCTGGTTCTCTTCAGGAGACTTTCAATAATTATACCCAATCGAATATTTAACTATTTTTTAATACTGACGATTTTGTATTGGTCGCCCCATTGCAGTTTTCTGGGTTTTTGTGGGTTTTTGGCGGACCTATAAATTATAGTTGCGATGAAAAAATGGTTAAATAAACAATTGGGTATTAACTGAACCGAGCTATTTTCTCGTCCTTTTTATTCCTTTGCTAATAAACTAATTCAAAGGATGAAAGA